CACTGGGGGGCTTGGGCCTCTGCCTCTTAGCATTGGCTTCTTGCAGGCTCTGTCCCAGTGTGAGCCCCTTCTGTCCCTCCCTGCTGGCCACCTGTACCTGATTGCCAGGCGTGGCACTGCCCACCCCACGTTCAGTCCTTGGAAGTCAGGCAGGACCTCAGATGTGCACTGGGAAGTCCTGTTGCTGGCTGGAGGCCCAGGTCTCCCCTCCCATTGTTGGGGTGGGAGGTGCCAGACTCCCTACTGTGCTGGGGTAGCTGTCACTCCCTGTCCCCACACATTGTTTCTAGATTCCTGTGTTTGGGGATTCCAGCTGGTGTCCTCTTGGGGGCTTTGAGATTTACCAGGATACCACATACACAGCTTTAGAGAACAGGCCCTTTAGTGACTCTGGGAGGGAAAGCTTCCAGAAACCCAGACCGTGTTCCCCAAGTGTGGAGCACACAATCAATGACATCAGGATTCCTAGGGGCTTGGGGTTGGTACATGCCTGTTTGCATCTCAGATTCCTGGGCTCCCAGGTTGGGGGGCCGCACCAGGGTGCCTGAGGTCCAGCCTTGGCGTCACCCAGAAGTTTGTTGGTAATGGTGCTTCTCAGCAGCCCCAGACCTCTTGGCTTGGTGTGGGGCCCAGCAGTCGGTTTTAGTGAGCCTCTTGTTTAGCTGGAGGCGCTGCAGCTCTAGGCAGATGGTCCCAATGAGAAAAGAAGGTGGCCTCTTGTACTGGAGGTTCCGCAGAGGCAGGTGCTAAGAGCCGGAGCCATCCCAGGAGCCAGCTGCCTGTAAGCAGGGGAACCTTGCCAGAGTCCCTGTGTCCAGGCACCAGGATCAGAAGCTGGTGCATAAGATCAAGGGACAATGTCACATCAGCAGTGTGAATCACCCGTGCCCTGCCACCCTTGCACCTTTTTAATGAAAGGACAGAGTAGGAGAGCTGGTCCTGTAGTCCAAACACTTGGGAGGCCGAGGCAAGACGGATGGTGAGCTCAAGGCCAGCCTGAGCTGCATGGTGAGTTCTAGAGCAAGCCTCTGTCTCAGAAATAAAAAGCAGAAGGAAAAATGCCTTGGTCAGAGTGGCAATTGAAATACTCAAGAATGCCAAACACTTGAGGGAAATTTCCTTTAAAAACAACACAGCACAGCACTGCACCGTGCAGTGTAACACAACATAGCACAACAGTGGTCGGGTCAGCTTTCTTAGTCACCAGCTGCTCTTTGAGGGTGAGGGCTAGGCAGGGCTGGGAGGGGAAGTCCGCGCACAGCTTCCGGCAGAAGGGTGGTCCCAGAGAGAACCAGGGTCTCTGGAACACTGCCTGGACTCCAGGCTCCCTAGCATGGCCCCCTACTTGTTAGAGAGATGAACTGTTACCCCTCCTGAGAGCTAGGTTGTGGCAGAATTGGGGGACTGTCGAGGTCGCTCCCGGCCGGCAGGAAAGACACACGACAAAGTCTGGCGGTGTGCAATCTTGCCTTTATTTATCTCCGCGTGGGCTCCGCGAGGCCTCCTTTCTGCCACCAGCCCTTTCTCGCCGGTGGACTTTTCTCTATCTCTCTCTGTGCTTCCTCTCTGTGCTTCCTCTCGTGGCGGGAGAGGCATTCACTTTTATAGGGCAACAGTAGCCAATCAGTTCAAAGCGCGTGATGCGGGCTGACTGGCTAACATCAGCTGTTGCTAGGCAGACTATCTTACAGAGCGGGTTGTTTAAGTCGCCAGCGCAATCAGGGGGCAGGAAGCAGGCGCCAACTTGACTCACTTGATGGGAGGGGCAATCTAGCTCAGGCTCCGCTCCCACCCACAGGCCCTACGTCCGCCAAGTAAGGCGACCGGTGTCGGCGGCTCCCAACAGGGGACAGCTGCTTAGACCCATTTCCCAGGGCACTTGGTGCCTGACGTCAAGCTGGGGAGTTCCCTTATGACAAATTGGGATGGTCCTGCTGTGGCCCTTGGGTCAAGTACTTGGAAGAGCACTGTGGGTGCCAAATCCACAGATAGGAGACAGAGGGAGCCGTCAGGCTGGGCAGCTGGCAGGATCGCAGGGGAATGTCACAGCGCCCTGCACCCCTGTTACATCTAGGGAAGGGCGTGCTCCTGCTCTGTGGGCTGGGTCCACAGCTGGGCCTTGGGTTGGCGAAAAGGGATGCGGATGGACTGGACGAATCCTGTTGCTTTGAGATCAGTGGAGAGATGGCTGTGCTTTCAGCAGAGGGGAAGGCTGGGCACGGTGTTTGGGGCTGACCAGGACACTGTGGCCTTGCAGTGGAAAGAGCCCCACCTTGGGGGCCCCTCAGGACAGAGCTCCTGCCCAGAGAACGGGAAGCTCCCTGGAGCCCTCCCAGGAATGCATGCAGTGCGCTGCTGTTCCCTGGCTGTGGAGCTGAATGGGGCCTGTGTGAGTTATTTTCATCTTGGAAGAGCAGGAGCTATGTGTTTGCTGTGCAAGGCAGGACGGGGCAGCCACAAGCGCGGTCAGAAATGCCCAGCTGAAATGGCCTTTTTGTTTGTTTTTGAGACTGGGTCTCACTGTGCACTGCAGGCTGGCCCTGAACTCACTATGTAGCCCAGCATCCTCAGATTTGTGGCAGTCCTCCTGCCTCAGCCTCCTGAGTGATGGGATCACAGGCATGCACCACCACATCTGGCTTGAACTGGGCCTTTTAAAAGTCATGTTTTATTAAGTAACACATGCACATGGCAGGAATGCAAAGGGCACACACATCAACAGCGTCACTTCTGGCCTCTGCTTTCCCCTTCCAGAGGCAGCTGCATTACCCAGGATGTCATTTGTCATTCCAGGGATGGCCTGTATGCAGGTGCATGTGTACAGCATGAGGGTCGTGTGTTTCCGGGGTGTTTCTTTCTTTACTGGCCTAGTTTACACATGGTACTTACTATGGTTAACAGTGGGGATCATCCACATCCTGGTAGATGGAGCTGGCTGATTCAAAAAGTAGCTCGGTTGTGATGTATTTAAGTGTTAAGTGGTGAGAGGTTTTCTGTTGTTACAGGTAATGCCACGTAAGACCCATGTTCTTAATGTCGTTTCCAGAGGCCTAAGTCTGGCATGAAGTTCTAGCAGAGCCGCTGGGTCCACGGTGTGTCATTTTTACTTCTGGCACCTCTGTCCTTTTAATTGGGGATTCTCTTAGCAGTTTTAGAAGGTGAGCTTCTTTCGTGCCTCTTCTGTTATTGCCTGTTCACATCATTGAGCAGTTTCTCCTGCAGTTCTTGGGTCTTTTATCTTTTCTTCTTTTGCTTTAGGGGCAGGACTTCTCTGTTGCCCAGACAAGCCTTGAACTCCTGGGTGCAAGTGATCCTCTTGCCTCAGCCTCCTGAGCAGTAAAACTTTTTCTCTAAGTTTGTCATTTGTCTTTATGCTGTTTATCTCTTTCTTAACATATAGAGGCTTTATTTTATGTCTCTGTGGTTTGAGGCCACTTCTTCCATTTAAACCTTGGTCTGGCTGAGATCTGTTTGGTGTATGGAAGGGAACATTTGGCGACAGCTCACCCAGCCCTAGGAGGATGGGTCACTGTGTCCCAGGGCAGCACTGTTGGAACCTCAGCCACGAGTGCTTAAGACTGAAAAGACACCAGTGTGCCACATGTGACCATGTCTACTCTCCCCAAGGGCACTAAGGTATCACTGGCTTCCCACAGCTTTGCCTGGGGTCACTGATGGACTCATTGACAAAAAAGAATGGCAACACCTATAGGGCCGAGAACCAGCAAATCTGTGGGCACTGGTGACCTCTTAGGGAAGTCTTTCAGCCTTCTTGCCAGCCACAGGTACAGCTCTTCAGGGCAGCAGGAACGCCCCTAGAGTGGTGCTGAAGAGTGTCTGGCAGGCCCCTGGCTCAGGACCTCACTGTTCTGACCCAGACGTCCTGGGGGTGGAATCCAGTGACCTATGTGATGTGATATCAGGTGACTGATTTGCACGAGAAGGAGCAGCTGTGCTCTCGGGGGCAGGTGGCTGCCCAGGAAGGCTGCTGCTGGGTGGCAAGAGTGGGCAGGTTGCCACTATCTCTCCTGTGGCTGGTGCAGTCACTGAGCTCGGTGCCTCTGGGTGCTTTAATTGCCACAGACCTGTGTACCAAGGGACTTAGGCCAGCTGTCCCACCTGCTGCCCTGGGTTCTAGGCCTCTGCCTCCCCGACTGATAGGCACATAATCACATGTTCTCTGAGCTTCAGTTCCTGGGGGTCCTTCTGGCCGCACCCCTTTGCCTGGGGAATGGAGGGAGAATGGAAAGGGCAGACTGGTCCCCCAAGATGGGATCAGGGAGACAGGCGGGGGTGCTGGGGATACGGGTGCAGAGAGAGAAGACAGACAGACCTGGAGCTGGGACGCCGTGTGCTGTCTGGTGTCTGAGTCTGAGAACAGGTGCCCGGCACAGGCTGTGCTCTGCTCGCTGTGAAGTGGGTGGATTTTAATTTTTATTGGTTCATGTTGGCAGTACATAGTGGTTACACACATTGGGGAGTTGATCTTCATTCTTCTTCACCACCCATTCCATCTCTTGGTCTCCTTCTCTTCTGTAAAAAGATCTCTTGTCCTGTTTCCTATTATCCATCATTTAGTTGGTCTTAATTTATGTATACTTGGGGATTCTCTGCAGCCTGTGTGTCTGATTTATTTCATTTAACATTATGGTCACGCGGTGCCTTCATTTTCTTACATATGTCTCCAGTGTATCCTTCTTTATAGCAGAGAGCAGCTGCGTTGTTGGGAACCCACAGGCTCAGGCTTGAGGCTGGAGAATCCCTGCAACCATGGTGCAGAGCCTGGTCCAGAAATTCTAGCTGGAAACCTTGCCAGGGATCTGGGAGTGGGGATCGGGGAGCAGGGAGCGTAAACTGTTACAACAAGCAGGCCTATGCAACTGCTTCCACTGCTGGGGTGTGGGGGCTGTGCTCACTGTTTTCCTGAGATCCCTATGCCGGCAGGCCCGGGTGGGGAGGACCCTGGGCACAGTCTGAATGCCCCTTCTCTTCCCTTCCAGATCCGACCATGAGCTACCCAGGCTATCCCCCGCCCCCTGGTGGCTACCCACCAGGTCCTCCAGGTAAGAAGGGTTGTGTGGTCCCAAATAGGGGGATCAGAGTTCTGCTGCTCCCCATCCTCCCCTGGCACAGCCTTATGAGAGGAAAAAACGGAGTGCGAGCCGCCCAGGGGTCCTGGTTTGGAGCTGGTTCCTCGAGGCCCAGATCAGGCCAGGTTTCTTCTTTGTAAGCCGGTAACCAGGAACAAATCCTTCACCTCTCTGAGACTCCATTTCCTCCTTTGGAAATTAGAGGTCCTATCTGCAGAGTTATCCCAGATACCAGAGATAGACAGGTAAAGCCTCAGGCATGGTGTTCCCCAAAGCATTATGAGCTGGTTGCTCAGCAGCAGGGCTCCAGCAGAAGGTCTTGTGACAAACTGGCCCAGCAGCAGAGTTTGTCTTGACCCATCCTAAGGGGGTCATCATTCACTTTGGGGAGTCAAAGTCTGGGACCATGGGACCTGCTCCTCCTCCACTTCTGCACGCAGGGGACAAGCTCCATTGGAGAGATGGCTCAGCTACTGTCACAGGGCGCAGTCCTTGAGCAGGGCCAGTTCCCCCGCAACTGGTTAATAACGACCTTGTTCCGCGCTGCGGCAGAAATCTCACTGTGTCCTGTCTGCTTCGTCAGCACTGTTGTTCCACCTCCAAGCAGCAAAAGGGTGTAGGCAGGCAGCTCGGAAAAGGCTGCGCTGTGGGCATCATTTGCTCCACCCTGGTGCCAGCCACGTGCTGTGGTCTCAGTGACAGTGGTCCTCTGTGGCCCCTAGTTGAGCACTGGGCGTGCTCCTCAGGCATCACTCACTCTGCAGGACACCAACCTGGAGCAGCTGAGAGCCCCAGCACACAACTGTCTTGCCGGGCCAGAGCCAGGCTTGTCGCTGCTGTCCCCTTGTGGACAGTGGTTGGGATCCGTGTTTCCTGTGCTGCGGGCCGGAGTTCCTCCAGCTTGTCGTTCTGCCTCTCCTTCCTGTTACTGAGTTATCACATTGAGTAGCTAAGCTGGAAGGACCTCTGCCCCATACCTGTGCCGCTCTGTGAATCCTGGGGGCCCCTGGAGCTTGTTTGGCATAGCCCAGCACAGAGTCCCAGAGTGACTGTCCTGTGTCTGTTCCGTGATGGTGGGTTGAGGGGGCAGAGGCTGCAGTGGGCCCCCCATGCCTCCTGAATACCCCACTGAGTACTCAGTGGGGAGCGAGGCAGAGGCCTCCTCTTTGTCCTGACTCTCCTCCTGGCCTTTCTGTCCTCTGTAGCGCTGGCCCGAGGCTCTGCATGGCCACCTCTGCTGAACTCTTCCACCTTCCCCCATTGGGCAGGGGCAGACGGGCTGAGGGCTTGGTGTTAACTTTCAGGTGGCGGTCCCTGGGGGAATCCAGCCTATCCCCCGCCTGGCGGGCCCCCCATCGGGCTGGATAACGTAGCCAACTACGCAGGGCAGTTCAACCAGGACTACCTCTCAGGAATGGTGAGTCTGTCCTTCCGCCTGGGGCACAGCCACACAGCTGGGGAATCAAGGCTGGCGGTGACCGAGAGCTTGGAGTGTGCCTACTGCCCCTAAGAGCAGGAGGGACTTCTCCAGGGTTCTTCCAGCTGCCTGATGCCCCTGCTTGGGTCTCAGCTCTCCCTTCCGTAAATCGAGGGGTTGGAGATGCAGTGCACACGTGGTCTTTCCCGGTCCTTACAGCCTTGGGGTGCTCAGTGGGGTGAGTCTTCATGGAGAGTCATTTGGCACCTTGTAAGCTCAGTGCAGGCCTGAGGAGGTGCAGGTGTGTCTGCATGTGTGTGCCTGTGTGTGTGTGCGTGTGCTGTGAGTGTCCACAGAGGGATGGCTGTTCTGGTTTGGTCGTGAGTGGGAATATGGCAGCAGCTTGGGCAAATCTGCCCAATTTATATTGGTTGTTTTGGTTAAAAATAATATCTTTTATAATCTGAAAACAAGTGTGTGCATAGCAGAAACAGTACAACCAGTACACACCCAAATCTGTATGGGGCCCAGTTCTAGGCACTGGGGATTTGTGAATGGAACAAACAGGAGTCTCAGCCCTGGTGCATTTGCTAATCGGAAAGGGACAGTGACAGGAACAGCTTTGCTGGGGGTGCTGCTGAGATTGGGGGAGCAAGAAGAGCTGGTGAGAGGGTTAGAGTCGGGTGAGTGGGGTGGAGTGAGGGTTTTAAGGTAGAGGGTTGGGGTGAGCCAGCAAGGGACATTGACAGAGGTCTGAAGCAGGGGAGGGGTGTGCTATCTGGGTGTCCAGGGCCACCAGACCCTGGAGCACCATGGACCTGGAGCGCTCCAGGCACCAGCTGAGGCCAGGGTAACTAGGAGGAGAGGGGAGAAGGGCCTCAGTCTCCTGCTCAGGCTTCAGGCCTTCATTCTGGGGAGGCATGTGTCCACCCAAGCCTCACAGCCCGACGTGTGGGGTTAGGTGGGTGATAATGTGGGGTCCTATCAAGCCCATGAGAGGCCCCTGTACTTTCTGGGGCTGTAAACTCTTCCTTTACTCATGGGCCCAGGAAAAAAGGAATATCCTTTGGAGGGGAAAGGCTGTATCCCTTGTGGAAAGGGTGGGAGTACCTGGTCAGGGTGCAGCGGGAGCGGGCAGATCCCTGGCCAACTACTCGTTTTGAAGTTAGGTTGGCTCCAGTGCGGGTTGCTTGGAGCTCAGTGGAGGAACTGAGTTCTGGGCTGAGGCCCTGGGCAGTGGAGGGCAGAGGGCAAAGCGCAGCTGGGCCGGCAGTGAGTCACGGGCTCTACCTTGTGTTCTTGCAGGCAGCCAACATCTCTGGGACATTTGGAGGAGCCAACCCATACCCGGCAGCTCCTGGGGGTGGTTATCCTCCTCCTCCCCCTGGTGGCTTTGGTCCACCCCCACCCCAGCAGCCTGGTCCTCCTCCATTTGGAATGTATCCACCCCCTGGAGGAAACCCGCCCTCCTATCCACCCTTCCCAGGGGCACCAGTGCCACCCCCTGGGCAACCACCGATGACCTACCCTCCTGGGCAGCCACCGATGCCACCCCCAGGGCAGCAGCCAATGCCACCCCCGGGGCAGCAGCCAATGCCACCCCCGGGGCAGCAGCCAATGCCAAGCTACCCAGGATACCCAGCATCTGGACCCATGACCCCTGCTGTACCCCCAACCCAGGTGAGTGCTGGTCCAGCCTTGAGCCCAAAGCCTGGAGACTCTTGGCCCTGCCAGGAAGGCCAGGGGACAGACAGAGAGGCTCAGCCCTGCAGCTTACACTTCTTGGTTTATTGGAGTGTCGTTTTATTCCAGGCTGCCTGTCCTGGGGGAGAAGGGGCTGCCTACCCCTTCTCCCAGTCTGGTTAGACATCCCAAGTGCCTACAGGTCAGAACACCCCAGCAGCCCCTTCATTCCTGCTGTGACTTACCAGGCTATATGCTTCGTAAGAGCTGCCTGGGCTACCAGCCTCCAGGCCCCTGTGCCCAACAGGCCCCGTGATACGCCTTCCCAGATCGGTTTTGGAGGGTTCCTATGGTTCCCTTTGGGAAGGGAAAATTGTTGGCAGCTCCTGTAGGGTTGATCTTGGCTCATATTGCAGAACAGTTTGTGTTTGCAGAGCCTAGACTTCATTGTCATGGTTACATGGCCAAACCAGCCCAGCACAGGGCTGGTGATGTGTGATAGGAGACTATTTTTAGACAGAGGGTCCTCTCTTTTCATACCCCAAGACCTGCCCATTCTCCCTCCCTACACTGTCTTCTCTTGAGCATGTCTCTGTTACTGTACCAGTCACTAGAAATTCAAGGCACCAGCACACAGTTTAACCTGGTGGCCGTGCACCATTGAAAGGTTGGGTGCTGCACCTCTGGGGCCACACGGACTAGCCAGGCCCTGTCGGGAGCACCCCAGTGTGTGCCATATCACCCTGTGGCAGGGAGAGGTCAGCAGCCTCTGCTCCTGCAGCCTGCCCTTCCTCAGGCCCAGTGTCAGCCCTATGGGAGCTGGGTATGGGACACATTCTCAGGGCCAGGAAGGATTAGGCTGTGGGGACTGCTAGCTGGGGGGCCAGGCAGGGCCCAGGACCAGGACTGACGATGAGTAGTGCCATGTTGGGCAGCCTCAATTGGAACCCTGTTGGAGTGCGCTTGATTTCTGGATCCTTCAGACACCCCAGCTCTTGCCTCAGATCTGAGGGAAGTGGCATGCAGATCCTCTTACCTGTGACTATCTGTGTAGTTCGGAAACCGAGGCACCATCACAGACGCTGCTGGCTTTGACCCGCTGCGCGATGCTGAGGTCCTGCGGAAGGCCATGAAGGGCTTTGGTGAGAGACCCTGGGTGGTTATGTTCTGGCCCTAACCTGATTTCCTGGGCAGTTTCACAGGGGTGCTGTGGGCTGGGGGAGGTGATGGGAGAGGAGGTGACATAGGAGCGTGGTTGGGAGAATTAGAGGGTGCAAGCTGGGTGTTGGGAGGTGCAGAGCATCCCAGTGACCTCCCTGCCACTCTGCTCCCCAGGGACCGACGAACAGGCCATCATCGACTGCCTGGGGAGTCGCTCCAACAAGCAGCGGCAGCAGATCATCCTGTCCTTCAAGACGGCCTACGGGAAGGTGAGGCACGGTGCAGGAGGACGGGAGCACAGGGGGGCCTCTGGCAGTGGGTTGGCTGCAGTCCTCCCCTCTTGCTTCTCTGTGGAACTGGTGGGCCTGGAACTCGGAATGGACACTGAGCTGCACGAGGGCACCTCCTGTTGCCCTCCCTGGCAGCACCATTCTGAGGTGAAGGATACCTCAGGGGAACAGTCCCTGGGTTCCTAGGGGACTGAGGTTGACACAGGTGCCCAAAGTTCTGGATTCTAGCACTGGCTGTGCCACAACTAAGGAACTGTGGGCATATCATTTCCCCTCTCCTGGCCTCAGTTTCCCTTCTTGTCTCCCTTCAAACCTGGGGAGGTTTTGCTCATGTGAGCACTTTGGAGGAAAAGGCTTTTGGATCAGAATAAACCCTAGGGGGCTGGGCTCTGACTCCTGGGTAAAAGCCGAGTGAACGCTGAGTGGCTGGTGCTGTAGCCAGCCTCTCTCCAGCCTTGGTGCCATGTGCCCTGGCGTCCCCCACTGGTGCAGGCTGTGAAAAGGGTCCTGAGGCCAGGCCCCTTCCCTGGCCAGAGTGATGCCCATGTCGCTGATGCGCAACTCTGGAACCTGTTCTCATGGGTCATGCTCTGTGGAGTGTCAGCGTTGGCTTGTTTGAATGTCTAATCAGGATTTGATCAAAGACCTGAAATCCGAGCTGTCAGGGAATTTTGAGAAGACCATCTTGGCTCTGATGAAGACCCCAATACAGTACGACGTGTCTGAGATAAAGGAGGCCATCAAGGTGTGTACACGTGAGTGTGTGTGTGTGTGTGTGTGTGTGTGTGTGTGTGCACGCGCAGCCCAGGAGGAAGCCTGCGTGATGTCATACTGCTGCTGCAGTATGCAGGAAGAGATTTTCCTGTACTTCCCCCACATTTGCTCCTGTCAGGGAGCCAGCTGCAGTAGGGACTAGCAGTCCCTTCTCCAGATCCCAGTGGGCCACCCATGGCTCAGGCCTGCTCACAGGCTCCCCATCCAGTCGGAATGAGGCTTGTCAGGCCCTTAGGGTCCTGTGCAGGGCTGGCTTATTCTCTGCCCACACCTCCTTCTGCAGCGTCCCGAGGTGGACAGAGGATGTGGGACGGTGGTGCCCTGGATGAACTGTGACCTGGAGAAGGAGGCCGCACATACACCCTTTATAAACTCTGAGTAACCCGAGGGTGGCCGTGGGCATTGGCGGTTATAAAAATAACTGACACATGCTGTGCTTCCTGCCTGACCCGAACAAAGTGCTCGCCACACATTAACTCACTTAATCTTCATGACTCCTACACAGAGCCCTCTCATTTTATGGACCAGGGATCCAAGGCACAGAGAGGCTAATTACTTTGTCCCAGGTCACACAGCCAGTAAGCCTTGGAGCCCAGAGTCAGACCCATGTGAAAGCCAGGCTGCTGACCCTGTCCTCTGCCTTCTTGCTATGCCCAGCCTGATAACTCCTCTGTCCTCGCTGTTGCTGCCCTGTCCTAGAGGTGTCCACACACTCCACAGTCCACTGGGGACTCTGGTGCTGCCACACGGCCACTCGGACATCACTCACTGTCAGCTCCTCTTCCCAGTTGTTTGTCATCTCATTCATGGGCTGAACTTGGAATACAGAGACCATGTACTGTGTCCCTGGGCAGCTGCTGCCCCTCTCTGAGTGTGGTTCCTGTGATCCCTTCCCATGGGGGCTGGCCACTGTCATGATTTGGTGCTGGCAGTACATTGGCTGAGTCTCTGTGTCAGAGGCCCCGCTGCCTGTGCCTCCCGCTGTCCTTCCCGGACATAGTTGTAGAGCGTGGTCTTTCGTGTTCTCCGCCACCACAGGGTGCTGGCACAGATGAAGCTTGTCTGATCGAGATCCTGGCTTCTCGAAGCAATGAGCACATCCAGGAGCTGAGCAGAGCCTACAAAGCAGGTGCCTGCTGCGCGTGCAGAGCCTCTGTACCCCTGGCCTGGGCCACACCCTCTCTGCACCCTAAATCCCTCCTGACCTCCTTATCACGCACTTTCTGCCACTCCCAGCCTGCTGGGTCGCACTCAAGGCCCTGCCCTGCCTGCCGTTTACCTGAACAAGTGACTAATATAGGGCCGGCCTGGCGGAGCCTGACTACAGCTGTGACAGCCCCCAGGTCCCAGGCTCGTATGTCCCTGGAGGACCTCATGGGCCACATGTCTCCTCTAGACCTGGACCCTGGGCCCTTCTTTTGCTGCTGCCCAGGGTGACCACATCTGCAGTGGGCACCAGGTGACCTTCCTGTCCCTTCTTTGCAGAACACAAGAAGACCCTGGAGGAGGCCATTCGCAGCGACACATCCGGGCACTTCCAGAGGCTCCTCATCTCCCTCTCTCAGGTGCCTTCCCCACAACAGGAAATCAGAGTGCAGGGGGTGGCGCAGAGAGGAACGGGAGGAAGGAGGATGTCATGGTGCAGCCCTCCAAGGAGCGGGCTCAGCCCTGCAACCTGCTGCCTTTCAGGGTAACCGAGACGAAAGCACAAATGTGGACATGTCCCTCGTCCAGAGAGACGTCCAGGTGAGTGGGTGGGGTGATCAAAGGAGGCGGCGCTCTGGGAAAGAACTGTGGGTAAGGTGCGGCTGCTGCGAGCTGCTCTGCCACTCATCAGCCAGGACCACGAGCTGGTCACCGACCTCTTGGATTTCATTTTCTCCTCTTTGTAAGGGAGGAACATACTGAACGTTGTTGCAGTTGATAAGTAACAGTTACGGGCATGGGTCTCAGGTGACCAGTGCCCTCCTGTGTCCAGGTGCTATACCATTCTGTTTGCATACTGCAGAACTGACCTTCACCTGCTAAGCTTCAGAGGGTAGGAGCCTAGAAGCCAGCTGTCACCTTGGTGTGCAGCCTTAGACTTCTCCCCTATCCTTTACGCTTTGCAGACAAAAGGGGGCAAGTCCAGGCAGCTGAGTGGCTCCCTAGAGAAGTGCATTTCTCAACCCCACTGTCCTGGCTGGTGAGAGCCCTGCTTCCTGGTGGAATGGAGCTGGGGTACCTCCCTTGCCCTCTATGGAGGACAGAGGTCTCATACTGTCTTACCTCTGTTCCTGACTTACATCGCCCTCACTTTAACCTGCAAAGTCCCTGAGCCCCTCTGAGTATCTGCATTGGGTACAGGACCTTGAGTCCAAGGCTGTTGCCTGAAGCTTTGAAGGCCTTTCAGGGGCCACTAGGACAGGGGTGCAAGTTGGCAAGTATTTTGAGCTTAAACCTTCAAAAGTTTAACAGGCAAGTGCAAATCATGCCCCTTGGCAAACGTAGTTATTATTCTAGGGAGTGATAAATATGTGAAATCCTCTGTCCACAACTATCATCTGTCAGTGTAGGAACGTTCATTATCTCATGTGTTCCTTCTCAGACCTAGGAAGTCTGCTTCTCAAGGTTGGGCAGTGTCGATTCTATAGTCCTGCTGCTAAGTTCTCACCTCTGGGTGGTTAGCCCTGGCCCTTCAGCCCTGTGCCCACGCGCTTCCCACAGCACCCCAAGTCAGCCTTGGTTATCCTGGTATGAACTCCCCAGTTGCAGGATCCCCCTACTGAGGGGATGCAGGTTGCTGACCTCTGGTTCTTTTGCAAATGAGGACTCTGAGGCTCCCACTGATCCCATTTCCTTCCCCTCTGTGGTTGGGGCCACACATGCATACCTCTCCTGGCTGACCTAGGCCCGGGGCCTGGGACATGACTGGCTCTGTGTATACATCTTCCTCCTCATGCAGGAGCTGTATGCTGCCGGGGAGAACCGATTGGGAACGGATGAGTCCAAGTTCAATGCCATTCTGTGCTCCCGAAGCCGGGTCCACTTGGTGGCAGGTAAGGCAGTCCAGGCATCCGAGGGCTGAGTATGAGCTGAGCTTGCTTTTGCCCCCTGCTGGTTACTTATGGTACCACCCAGCGCTTCAGGCCGGCAGGGGCTCTGGAGGAAGCCAGGGTGGGCTTGGGCCACTGCTGGCTGGCTGTGTGCTGGGATGCAGGGCCATGCAACTGGGAGTGTCTTTGGAGTGCTTTACCAGGGGCTTGACGGTGGCGTGACACAGCTGTAACAAATGCTTGTTTGCTTGAGTCCACACATCGGGGAGCTCTGCGTGCTCTTCCCAGAGTGGGGCTGGGGCAGCACCACTGTCCCGTCCTCACCAGGCTCACCGCCCTGTTCAGGGACGGCCAAGAGGCACACAGAGCAGCATCTCTGTCAGGCGGTAGCTCTGGAGAGGGGACGGCAGCCCTGGAGTCAGGCAGGGTGCAGTAGGACCAAGCCAGGGAGAAACCCATGACGCAGTGCCCTGCAGCGGGGACCTGGCGGGGCACCGAGAGGGGTTCTCTGGGAAGAGGAAGGCAAAAGGTATGAAGTCCGGTTATCACTGGGCTCTGAGTGGAGAGCAGCAATGCCTATCTTTTTGTTTCTGTTTTCTTCAGACAGGCTGTCACTGTGTAGTTCAGGCTGGCCTTGAACCCCTGATGATCCTTCGGCCTCAGTCCCCTGAGTCTGGGGCTTACACAACCCGTGTCACCATGCCCAGCTAGCCTGTCTTAAATATACTCAGAGCACTACCTTAGCTAGAGCGGGGCAGACTCACCTAGCACAGAGCCTTGTTTGTAACAGTGTTGAATGTTTCTGTAGTTTAGTGGGAGCTCTACTGAAAATGAAAAACAGGATGGTTGTATTTTTGCACTTTGTGAAAATAATCCTAAATTGTGGCAGCACATGGTGGTGTGTGCCTGTAATCCCAGCACTTGGGAGGCTAAAGCTAGGGAATTGCTGGGATTTCGAGGTCCGCCTGGGCACCATGGTGAGACTATCTCAAAAACACCCCCAAAATGCGCTCCCTGATCTTCGGCTGTTCTGATTCCTCCCCTTATGTGGGGCACCAGTGTGACCAGCTCAGCCCCGCTAACAGCCTCGTGCTAATGAAGTCTCCTCTTTAAAGACTATCTCCAGATACAGTTTTATTCTGTAGAATCCAGGGGTAGGACCTGAGCATTGATTTGGGGGAACTCAGTATGTTTCTCTGTCTCACCACTAGTTTTCAATGAGTATCAGAGGATGACAGGCCGGGACATCGAGAACAGCATCTGCCGGGAGATGTCGGGGAACCTGGAGCGGGGCATGCTGGCCGTGGGTAGGTGTCCCGGGGCTGGCCGTGGGTAGGTGTCCCGGGGCTGGCCGTGGGTAGGTGTGTTGCCGGCTGCTAGAGTACTCCCTGTCCTCTGGTTGCCGAGTGGCACGCTGAGAGAACCTCAGGACCCCAGAGTGCCAAAACCAGACAGTCCAAGCACTGGGACCTCATGCTGCTGTCCTGCCTGCTGAGAAAGCCCAACTGTCCAGGCCGGCCGGCTCTTGTTTATGTTCCCAGAAAGGCTCCGGAGAGGGGCGCTGCCGTGTGGGCATTGGTCGGAGGACATCCAGCCGCTCTCTCAGAGGAGAGTGACTCACATCCTGCCAAGTTTCCTCTAAAAATACCTCCTGCAGGCGCTTGTCAGATGTTTGTGATGGAAACACGGGGAAGATTTTTACTTGCGACAGCAAAGCAAGCCCGTTGCAGGGAAAGCTGGCCGATCTCTGGCAGCTGGGCTCCCGCAGCAGGGCGCAGGCTCCGGGTCTGACCCACTGTGTACACTGGGGGCCTTGCTCTGTGGCTTTTGTCACTGTTCCCTTCTCCCACCTTGGAATGCCTTTTGCCCATTCTTTTCATAGCATTTTCCTTGGAGAGATTAATCCTCATTTCTCTGCACATCCCCTGTGGTGGGCTCATGGCCCGAGAACTGCAGAGAGACACTGGTTTTGCTCGCCGGTCTGTCTCCATGGGGTCACAGTGTCTGCAGCGGGCTCCGCATCTGTTTAGCGACACGGTTCTTCTGCACTAAGCATTTCTTCCCTCTGGGCCCTGCTTTGCTCCTCAATCCTTTTATCACCATGGCTGCCAGGAAAGAGAGTGGATTGGTGTCCAGCTCTGCACGGTCCTGTTCCAAAGAGCTGGACTCAACCATGGGATAATTAGCCTGGAGGCGGGAGTGTGGGGTGAGGGATGGAGGCGGTGGCCTTCTAGGTTGAGAGTTTCCTGAAGATCCATTTATGCTGTGTTTCTCTCCGGCAGTGAAATGTCTCAAGAACACCCCAGCCTTCTTCGCTGAGAGGCTCAATAAGGCCATGCGGGTATGTAGCCCCACTGTGACTGGGGCCAGGGGGTGCATGTAGCGGGCTTGGGAGGGCCACACTCAGCCTGCTGCAGCTGAAGCTGGAGTGGGAGGGTCAGGGCTGGGGAGGTGGGGGTGTGTCCTGTTGCTCATGACCCTGAGTGGACCCTTTAGGGAGCAGGAACAAAGGACCGGACCCTGATTCGCATCATGGTGTCCCGCAGCGAGATTGACCTTCTGGACATCAGAGCAGAGTACAAGCGGATGTATGGCAAGTCGCTGTACAGTGACATCACGGTACGGGCCCCGCGGCCTCCTGTGGCCTCACACACTGCCTGTGCCAGGCAACCCCCTCCCTTCTGCTTCCTTCCCTTCCCTTCTTCTCCCCTCCCCTTTCCACTCTTCCTGCTCACGCTCTTGGCCTCATGCACTAGGCCTCTGGGCAGTACATGGGCGCTGTGCTGATGGATCCCAGATCTGTTCTTTTGAACTTCCCTGGTTCACGCAGTTACTCCCAAGCAGACTGTCAGCTCCTGAGGCCGGGGCAGGCTCTGATGCTGCATCCCTGGCTCCTGGACCCCGGTGCTCAGTAACTGCATGGGGTGTCCACCCAACAGCTTTCACAAAATTTGGGGGCCTCTCCTACCTTGGCCCTGGCCTTCAGAGCCCAGACCACTTTGATATGTGATCCATCAGCCAGAAATCCTGTTTTAGAGGCTTCCTAGAGCCTGTGTGCGGCTCACGGATTCCCTATAAGGCATAGGAAGGCCGCAGCTCAGTGTCAGGGCCTGTGGGCTCACCTAGGAGTCTGGCTTTTCTGCTTGCTGACTTTGTGGTGTTGCCTCTGCCTGGGCCCCACACCTGTTGTGTTTAAGATGAGGATAATAGTAGTTCCTTCCTAGGAGGGCTCAACGGGAGATCTACACTGAGAGACTAGCAAACATGGGCTGCTATTGGGTCACCGGAGGGGCAGGCAGGCTGTGCTCTTGTCTCACTAGACTGACTGTGACATCCTGGACACACCTGAACTTTGAAATTGAAAGTCACCGGGCCCACGTTCTCATTCCAGACTCGCTGATGTGTGACACTATTGGGCTGCTCTTTGGGAAAAGTGACTTTCCATTTGTGTGCTATAAAGATGTTGCCGTGATTAGCAGAGAATTTGTAATTAGAGACTTCCTGAGTGCCAGCCGGCTGTGCTGTCTAGAAGCAGCTGTAGGCCTTGCCCCTGAGAGCCAGGGTGGGAGGAAATGATTAAGAATTGGGGGAGCCTCTTAGCCCCCCTTATAGTGAGTGCAGAGGCATCAGAAGGGCAGAGCTCCCAGGAACTTGGTGGCCCAGGTGACAGCACTGTCCTCCGGTGCATGGCCATGGAGATAATGTGTCTCCAAAAAGGACACATTGGGGGCTGGGGATTTAGCTCAGCAGCATAAGCGCCTGCCTTGCCAGCAGGCAGTCGTGAGTTCGATCCCTGGTACCGATAAAAACGAAAAAGACAAAAAAAAAAAAAAATAGGACACATTGTGCATTTTGGTAGAACTCCAGTTTGGTGCCCCACAAATGCCTGCAGAGAGGAATATTGGTCAGCCTCAGGTAGTGTTGAGACCGACTTTTTTTGTTGTGGTGATGTATTTACCTTTGATCACTGGTGCAAGCGCAGCTTTCTGTTCTTTATCAGTGGCTTGGGTGGGGCTGAGGTGCACATCCCAAGGCGCAGGCCACCTGCTCTGGGACAGCTGGGGGGAACATCTGCCTACCACAGGTCTGCCTGTCTGCAGAGGCACTGGCGCCAGCAGAAAATCAGGAGGCAGGAAGTGGTCCTACCTCGCTTAACTGATGTCCTTGTTCCTATGATCAGGGAGACACTTCTGGGGACTACAGGAAGATCCTGCTGAAGATCTGCGGTGGCAACGACTGAGCTGTGACTGGCGGTTCACTCCTGCCCCCTGCTGGCAATGCAGTGCCAGGATGAGGCCAGATGATTGCTTCCCACAAATCCAGCCCAGTAGCCCCGAGGCGCACACATCTGTCCCCAGAGGCTTGGCCCTGTCCTGCCCTGCCCTTCCTGGCCCCACACCCTGATTAAGGGCCTGGTTGTGGCTAGTACTCCAGCAGGGAGCCTTCTCCTCCCACTCCCTGCTGCCTCAGGCTATTAGAGTAGGTATTTGATTTCCTGACTTGTGCAATCCTCTTCGTTGCTTATGGCTAAGATTCTCAGCATCATTTTAGTTGTATAATTTTATATTCTTACTTGTACCATCTTTGCCTAGCAGATGCACATGAGTGTGTGTACCAATACACATTTCTGGGGAGTGAACCATGACCCTCACCAAGGCCTGAAAGTGTAATATCTACGTCTTAGGGAGACTATATCATGAGCTTTGTGTTTGCCAAACACTTACATTTTTAGGAAAACTGAAGAGCCCAGACAGTCATTTCTTCCATCTCCCGTGCAAAACCACAAGGCAGAAGCCTGTTCCTGGCCAGTAACAGGGCTCCTTGTACTTTGAAATGTGCCTTAAACCTGAATGTCTGTAGCCAAAAGCTGTTTCCAAATTAAAGTTGGCCAACTCTGGAATGTTCTGGAAATATCTTCCTGGTCCCAGCTTGTTCTCTTCCGTTTCAGGACAGCAGGGGAGGGGGGCGGTGTTCTGCCTTTTTAGCCAGTAACGTCCACACAAATTAAAGTGGAAGTTGGTGTTTGGAGACCCAGAGTGTAGCTCACTCATGGAGACTGGCAGGAGAAGGAGCTCCCTCCAAACCACAGGGGAGGCCAGGACCTGACAGAACCTGGATCCTGGTGGGGTACAGGCGCAGGCCTCTGAGAGTGAGGCAGGGAGGGCAGAGTCCACACCAGGTCCTGGAAAAGAGGCACAGGCCGGCACCTTCAGTCAAAAGAGAGCATGCGGCTTTCATCCATGAGGACCTCTGCATCCTCAAAGAGGGGCTTCCAGAAGGGACAGGCTCCTAGGAATCACCGTGTCTTATCCAGAAGCACAGAGCTGGGCGCAGTGCAAGCCTTTACCCTCTTCCTTCCTGACCTGTGTTGAAGAGTCAAGAAAACAGGAGAATTCAGAGAGACTTGGCTGGATTGAGCCTGCTGGGCCCTGGCAAGAAGCTAGGCAGGATCCTATGTACAGGGTAGACATCTGCTTGGGGACATTGCCTGACACGTCACCAGCCCTAAGCAGTGAGAAGGGGACTGGCAGCCTGAAGTCTCCATGGAGCACTCAGGTGCTGGGCATTAGTCCCGAACAACTGGAGCTACCTTCCTGAGCTGTGACTGGGATGGGTGCTGGGATGGGTCTCTTCCTCAGTATCCATGCCTCGGACCTCTGGAGCCAGAGCTCAAGCTAAGGTCCCCTCCTTGTTGGTCCCCTGCGGGGGCAGGCCTTTGCCCCTGGAGTACCAGCTGGGACTTGCATGGTGGGGTGGACTTCCAGGCATATTACAACCTGTCCTGATCTCAGGCTGACCCTGCTGCCTCCTGAGCTGTGATAGGGCCTTGAGCTCATGTGCTCTGATTGTGATTATCCTGTGACATTGCTTTTCCTGTCATTTATACATCTGAGTTCTCAGCTTGGTGCCCAGCCAACAGTATTGAGATTGTAGATGCATTTATGTTGGTCCCCCAGAGAATGTTCAGGAATTTGAATTTGTTGCCAACATGTAAGCATTGGGAGCTTTAATGTTTTAAAATCTGTAATTCTTGTTTGTCTTCAATACACACACATACACACACACACACACACACACACACACACACACACACACACACACACAGAGCGAGCTAGAGAGATTGATTTTCATTGGGCCTGCATTTCTGCTCAGCTGGAGCCAGCTTCAGTCCTCCTTTAGGCTTGGTTTCACCACTGCCCAGGGGGCCACCACTTGCATAACAGGCCTTGTTATCATTGTGGCCCCTGCAGACCCTTGAGTTTGAGATCTCTGGTCTAAGAACAGGCCATCTGTGTTGTCCCCGGTGTTGGCTCTCCCTGCCTTCCAGCACCTCTGATTGCCCTCTTGACCATTCCCAAGGGACACAAACTGTCTTAGCCACTCAACACCGAGAACTTAAAGGAGAGGTTTGTGTTGCTTCATGTTTCAGACCATAGTTGGTGGACTCCAGTGCAGGACAGCATGGCAGAGGGACCTTGCTGGGGACAGCTGCTCACAGCATGGTGAAGGAAGCAGAGTGAAGGGAGAGGCTGGAGAAAGGAGGGAAACCCAGGCCATGATCCCAATAACTGCCTTCTCTGACCCCACCTCCCAAATGCAAGTCAGTTATACTGCCCACATAGTCTGGTCACTCCAAACACATGAGGCGCTGGGGGCTATCTTAGATCTAAATAATAGCATTCCACTTCTGACCTCCAAAAGACTCCTGCATCTTTCTTTGTGCAAAATAGTCCATCTCTAACTATTGCCAAAGTCCTAACAGTGCCAGCACTGCTGAGAAGTCCAAACCCAAAGCCTCCTTTAAGATGTAAAGAAAATTCTTAGCTGTGAGTCCCTATAAAAGTTAAAGGGAAACACTGCTGACACACAGTAGCATAGGCTAAACATTCCCATTCCAAAAGGGAGAAATAGCATAAAAATGAGTGGGACCAAAACAAGACACTAAAGCCCAACAGGGCAAACATTAAATCTTGTAGCTCTTTGTCCGAAAATTGTGGCAGGATAAGAACTGCAAATAGATTAGAGGGTTTCATTGCTACAGCATTGCAGTCATTGTAGTCTTCATGGCTTCTCTGTGACCTGCCTTTGCTTGCTTCTTGCAGATTTCCTCAGTCATTCCATAATCCTCCTGTCTCCAACTTCCTGAGATCTCCATTGTACTTGCAGCCTCACTCTCAGTTTCAGACACTGCCCTCTAAGGGACACCCTCCCAGGCTCTCCAGGCCTTCTGAAATGTGGGTGGAAGCCACAGATCGTGCATTCTGCACATCTGTAAAACAAGCATCACATGGATGACACCGAAGCCTGTGACCAGCTCAAGCGGTAGCTGGGCCCTCTTGAGCCATTGCTGCAGAGACTTTTGAGTACCTGGATGGATGAACACTGTGAATCCAATCACAAAACAATTTTTTTGGGCAGCTCTTTTCAAGCAGGATGTCCTGGGACTCTTCTCAAAGCAGGATGTTATTCTTTTGCAATTTTGAGCCTTGCTGTTTCCTGTGATGCCCTCTCAAGTCATCCTTCCTAATGTCCTGATGCAAAGTACTTACCTACTTTTTAATACTAATCTTTTCAGCAATCAGGGACTCCTTGCTCCTACTTCATAGGCATTTCTTTTCTGGTGAAACCAAAAATGTTTTTTTGGGGAGACAAGGTCTTGTTATGAAGTTCAGGCTGGCCTTGAACTCACTCTGCTACCCAGGCTGACCTCAGAATCAGTGATCCTTCTGCCTCAGCCTCCTGAGTGCTGAGATTACAGGCATGTGCCACCATGCCAGGCCCCAAAAACTTTTAAAATGTGCTTTTGACTCTTGATTTTCAGTATAAATCTGCTATAAAGCCCCAACACTACCTATGCTACAGCCTCAATATTGGGCTGCTTTGAAATTTCCTCTGCTGTATTAATTTGCCACCCTTAATCTCATTCTCCCATAGAACCCCAAGGACAAACTATAGACAAATCTGACAGCAAACACACATGGTCTGGAGTCCAACTGCCAAAAAGTTATTCCCAGTAGGACTTTCCAAGCCTGATCTTTTCCATCTTGTTTTTTATTTCCTTTTTCTTTTTAGCAGCATTCTGGGCTTCTGAGTTCTGATCAGAATTTCTCATCAACCTTGGTTTACAATATTCTAAACTGTAAAGGGCTATTTCTCCAACCAGCATCTTCAAACTTTTCCAAATTCATCCCACAAACCAGTTCTAAAAACTTCTAAACCACATGATCAGGTACAGTGGTAGTGATGACCCCACTTGTCTGGTAACAAAATCTGTCTTACTGACTTTCTCATTACTGGGACAAAATATCTACCAACTTGCAACTTAAAGTAGGAGAAGTTTATTTTGGCTCATATTTTAGTCCGGTCAACTGGCTTCAAAGCAGGATGGCATGATGGAGGGCCATTTTGAGGGAGATACACCCTTCTAGACCAGGCCTCCTGTAATCTTTCTCCTCTATCCAGATTACCCTCTCCCCAGATAACAAGGAAGCCCCATAGATAACAATGAACCCCCATAATCCAGTCACCTTCCAAACACAAGGCTTCGGGGGTCATTTTAGGTACAAGCCATAACATGGCCCTTCATAACAATGGGCGAGAAGACTGTAAATTAATGGTGCTTTTTCTGTGGGCAAAAAGGCAGCTACTGCCTTCCAAGATTCCTGGGAGATTAGCATCAACATTGTTGACTGTGGTAGGACAAAAAGATGGAGAGGAAGACATGCAACCCTACACATCATCTTTCTGTCTTGTGAAGATGTCTAAGCCATGTCTGTGGTACACATGTCTCACATTTGAAATAGCAGAGATTGGGGTATTGGATGCATTCATCCCAGAGTGCATTTTCAGCAGCTGTGTTCACTGAAAAGAGCACTGCTCAGAAGAGGGTGAGAAGTGGAGCATTTGTCTTAGGTGCAGAATGTAAAAGAGGCACCCTGGCACACTCATCTTTGGGTGAGTAGGCAGTCCTGAGGTGGTTGGTAAGCCCTAGTGTGCATCAGGATTGTCAGGAGCTTGTTAAGGAGCAAGTCCTGGGTTCTGGCCTCACAGATTCTAAGAGGTGTGGAGAATGGGAGACTGTCACTTGTAATCCAGCGTCCTAGCTTTCAGACATGAGACTTTATTTCTTCAATTGGCTCTTTCCACCTCCGCTGATAGTGCATGGTGTCTAACCTGGAATCAGACATCAAATTAAATACATTATCCCCAGCAGCTAGGCTTACATTCTCATCCCATCATCAAACCTGGGACCTTGTGCTTCTCTAAGAGACATGGGTATCATTACTCAGTTCCCCACCAGGTAAAACGGCAGTAATCCATGCAGGGTCCTCTATGTATAAGAGTCAAGCCCCCCAGCTGTACTATGGACTCTTACCTATAGCTCCTGCTCATTAAGAACCTGCCCCTTGGCATACTACAGTGTTCACTCTGAGCCTGGTTCCTTCTTCCATAGCTGCTGTCCTAAAGCAGAAAGGACTCCACTGGGCATCAAGGGTCTCTATTCTGTTGTCAGCTCAGCCAAAGATTTGTCTTGTGATCCTGGAGAAGTAATGTCCGTTCTTGGGCTTTTGTAAAATGAGCAGAACACTCAGAGCTTCATAATTTTTTTTAGAGCTTCATAAATTTTAATGGGGTCAAAATGTGGTGCCAGAGAACTCCCAAAATCTGCTCCTCTACAGCAGGAGCATATAAGCCAGCAAAAATGGTCAGGGTCAGCTTTATTGACACCCAGAAAATAATTGAAAGTTTAGAGTAACCAAATGCCTAAGAGCTAAATCCTGGGAGAGAATTTTGCTGAACTCTTGCTTATCCCAGGGGTATCTCTCTGTCTCTGGTTTGGCAGCAGCAGCAAAAACAAAATCCTGATTTCCCTGTAACTTCTTGTGCTGGAGGAACATAGTGGACATTGTCC